CAGCTGTGATTATTGTATTGTGAGTGCTTTGTGTGCTGTTGGTATCCTGTTGTTGTTGTTGTTCTTTTTTTGTGTTTTTCTTTTCCTCTCTGTAGGTGTGTGGCTCCGTGTACATTTTAGTGAATGCGGCAGTGCCTCTCTGATATGAGCATGTGAGACTGTCATTGTGTGTGTGTGCACCGTGAGTGGGAAGGACACTTTGTGTTGCTGGACCACTCCACTGCGGCGTCTGTGGGGTTTGTGTGGAAGCGGCATGCTTCGCTTCGGCGGGGCTCGAGGGGCACTTTACGTCCCGAGGCGTTGAACCTTGAGGCCTGAAATATCATGCTCAGGGACTTTGAACCTGAGAGAAAAAGAAGAGTGAGGATGAGGGAAAAAAAGGATGAAACCCGGCAACCAGTCTACGTGCGCAATGCTCGAGGCTCGTTGTCGGGTTTTGCCCTTTTCTTTTTTTTTTTTTTTGTCCTCACCCGAAGGAGGGAGAGGAGGAGAACACACAACCCCCACAACCCAAGGCGGGCGGCCAACTTGTCAGCGTCTTGTGCGCAACAAGAAGAAGAGGGGTGGGGTGGCTCCCGTGGGTGTTTCACTTATAAAATGAGGGGGGTTGGGCATAGTGGAAAACTTATGCTTATCTATACTTTTTATAACGGTACCGATCCTGTTCTTTGGCAAGTACTATTTGCGTGACGCCGTTGTAGGGTTCTACAGCGCTCAGAGACGACGGACGCCTGTTAATTTGGTATTCGAGAACCACAAAGATACTCGGGAGTTTTTCATCACCAAATAATAAAACAGGCAAGCATTGGAAAGATTTTTACCTTTTCGGATTGCATACTGAGAGCTTACTGTGGGAATGGCGTGGACTTGTTGCGTATGATTCTTTAATTTGTATAATTCTTTCTTCTTATTTGTATCTGAAAAGACTTGTGTGTTAAGGTGTGGGTTTTGAAGAACCGCCTGGCCCTTCCGCCTCAGCTTCGCGCGCTGGGGCGGGTTAAAGCGCTTTCAATACCTTTTTGCAAGGTAGCAACACGGTTTTATAGAGAATGGGGAGTATTAGAGACTCGTCACAGTGTATTGTTTTTTTTTTCTTGATGATAGTGATAAAGAGAAAAAGAAACCATCCATGTTTATTTATTTTTTTTTCTTTTTTTATATGGGAGGGGGTGGGGGAAACAAAGACTAGACTATTATTTTTAAAAGCTTGTGGAAATAATGTGTGACAGGATGCGGTTAAATAAAAGAGAGTGGTGATGTTTTTGTTTACGTTGTTTTTCTTTGCCTATGATTTCTTTTTATTTTTCTCTCGAAAGGTAACCGCATTGGGAGGTAGCGGATGGGGTGATTTTCTTTTTCCGTCCCATCCACCTTCACTACCCTCCACGTGGAGGAGTCCAGTAGTGACG